AGTTCAGACCCACTGTTCATAGGGTTGCTATGTATAAGTTGTATTCGACTTGACAGCACCTAACAATGACAAACATAATTCTATAGTAAGGGAGTCCTGGTGGCTTGGTGGTAATGAATCGTGTTGCCAACACAAAGGTACGCGGTTAGAATCCACCAGCTGCTTCGCAGGGAAAAGATGGACAATCTATTTCTGTGGGATTAACTGCCTCTGAGAACCTGCTGTAGAGTCATGGGTTGGTTCTCAATCAATCGCATGTAAGAGCAGCATTCTAGAGGAGCTGGTTTCCTTTTATAAAGGAAAGTCTGGTGGGATGTTAAGAGAAATGTCCTGAAGTAGTTGCCTAGGCAATTTGAAAGATCAAAGAGAAAGACTTGAGGTTTTTGGTGGTTGGTTTTTTCCTTCAAGATAGCATCTGAATTTGTCCAGTTGCAAATGCAGGGAAGCAGCAGTGCAGTTCCTGTTAACCAGAGCTCTGCCTTAAAACTGCTAAGGCAGAATCTAGCCTGTCTCAGTTCCCCCTCCACCCCTCATTCTTTACAGGGCACTGAAGGAAGGTCTTTTCTTCTAGAACTTCAAGCTGGGGAGGGATGTAGAAAAAAACCAGCCTACTTCACGGCTGTCAAGTTGAAGCTAACTCACAGCTGAACTCTAACTGGGTTTCTGAGGCTGTATGTTTGTTACACGGGAGATTGCCCACCTTTCTCTCATAATTAGTTGTTGTTGTTAGGTGCTGTTGACTCTAGTAAAACACTAGAGGGTTGTTTTACTTCTGAGCCAAACAAGTCAGTGGTTAGGAAAGGATTCCTGTGTAGCGTTTTAGAGGTGCAGCTTTAGGTGATTTGGGATGCTGCTCTGATTTCCAGGAAGATGAGGAGCAGTTGCACCCACTCATGCCTCCTTGCCCCCTCTTTGGATGATAAGCAGTATGAAGTTTGTCATTTTCACCTGCTTACTCATTTTAGGTGAGGTAAGCTTCTAACAAAATCTTAGATGTCTACACGCTAGACATGGGGCCATGACTGTGAACTTGCCTGCCAGTCCTCTCTGGAACAAGTATCTTGAAGTTGAATAGGGTTAACCAGGGGCAGGATTACGGCCTGGGCTAGGGGCTACTTCCCAGGCAGATTAACCACCTGCTTAATTCTTCTTGTGCACAATGGGTTGCTTCATGAAATTCCTTAAACTACTTTGCTACAATCCCATTCATGCTTCTCAAGAACTATACTGTTTCCAAATCTATACTATAGGATCAAGATAGTTCCTATTTAACTTGCAGAATAGAAAAATGTGTGGATTTAATTTTCTATAACACAGTTAGGAGAACAGGTATTAACTCTCCTGACTTAAAAAGTTAATTTTCATCAGGCACCTTCAACCTACTATGAAAAGTTTTACTTTTCTCACCATCAGCATCTACACAGAAACCGAATTCATGCCATCTCCTCCTGCAAATTCCTGTCTCATCAACCAGAAGCTTTCCCAGTCCTTTTTAATACTTAAGTTTCCTTTGGCGAAGATTATGATAGAAGAGCTTCAATTTCAATCAGTACTGACTCACTTCTTCCCCGTGTTTCCAATTGTTATTAACATTGTTCGAGAGGGTTTGAGAATTCTAACCACATAAAAGGGAGGCACGGCAGTTGTGGAGAGAGATCTCACTGCCTTCCAGGATCTGTCAATAAAACATATGGTGATGTGTAATTCATCCTCCGCGTTTGGACACAGTGGCTGACCTTTTGCTCGGTTACCATTACATAACAATTCTCATACATTCTTTATTTACTATATATGTCTGTTTTCGTTCTGATATCTGGAAAAGGAACTTTTTTAGGTCTTGGGTCTCTGCTCAAGCCGGCCTACAGGTGAAGGAGAAAAGGACTTTCCTCCACCATCAACAGAAAGAATGAGCCTTGTGCTACTGCTGGGATTTTGAATTTGGATTTCTAGTCTCTTAAATGGTTTCAAGTTCCTCTTCATTTTCAGCTAGCAAGGTTGGATCATCTGCATAATGCACGTTTTGGATGAGTTTTTCTCTGCTTCTGATGCATTCTTCTTCATAAAATTCATCTTCTAGTGTGATTTATTCAGCACACAGACTGAGAAGATAATGGAGAAAGGATACTGCTCAGACACACACCTTTCTTGATTTTGAACCCTACAGTATTCTCTTGCTCTATTTGGAAAACAAAAATGAAAAACCTCTTGGTCTAGGTATAGGTTTTATGTGGGCATATTAAGTGTTCTGGGACTCCCATTCTTAATGTTAGCCAAAATTTGTTGTGATAAACAGTCAAATGCCTTTGCAAAGTCAATAAGACAGACATCCTTCTGGTTTTTCTGCATTCCATCAAGATCCATCTGATAACAGAAAGTTGGACAATGACTAAGGATGACCGAAGATTCAAAACCTTTGAGCTTTGGTGCTAGAGAACAGACTATCCAATGGAACGACAAAAGAAGAAATAAGTACATCTTGGCAGAAGTGCAACTAGGGTACTTCTTGGAAACAAGAATGGCGAAGCTTTACTCATACTTTGGGCATGTTATTAGGAGAGGTCAATCACTGGAGGACAGCAAGCTTAGTCAGAAGACTTACAAGATGGATTGACATGGTGATTGTAAAATAGGTTTAAGTGCATCAGAGATGGCACAGAATAGTCAGGCTCAGATCTATTGTTCATAGGGTTGCTATGGGTCACAGTTGATGAGATGGCACAGAACAACAATGAACTGTAAGACAATACATTTTTGTGTTTTAAAGCCATGTATCTGTGGATCTGTTATAGTAGCAACAGATAACTGAGACAATAATTTGCACAATAATTTACATCACTTAACCTTGTTCTGATGATCTGTGATTATATAATAAATTGTTACAAAAAATATTAAAGAAAAAAGAAACACACATGTTGAACTTTATAGGAAAGCATTTAATATACCTTCATAAAGATAGATTAAAGGACAGATCTTAATAGTGAATCATATTTTCCATGCAAACAAGTGAGACCCTCCTCCCCACCTACCCTCACCTTGATTCATCCTTGAATGAGTACTTCATTATATTCTAAGAAAGTACACAAAAATCATCTCAAATATAAGTTCCATATCCATTTAGTGTAAATGAAGTACTGCAATAACATTTTTAAATCATTTAAAAGTGTAAAATCAAATTATAAAAAGGCATTCAGATTAAGGTCACCATTAGCCTGTACAAGCTTATTATACTTCTTATATACAATACACAACTCTCTATACAAATTAAGAGTCTGTTTCTTACATAAGAATCAGACTGTTCAAAGAGCAGCCTGATATTCCAATTTAGTCGTGATTTACTTGAAATTCATAATTATAACTCTGTTTAAGTTGATGAGTCAAGCAACTACTCTAATTGAACCCTTAAAAATAGTACTTTCCAAGTGCTTTTTTGGTCTTATTAAAAAACATATCTCTTTTTTTCTTTGCTAGTAAAAAAAAAATTCTGGAAAGGGAACTACACCTAAAAGTATAGTTATTAAGATATAACCTCAGAGGAAACACAGGCTCTGACACAGACCCTTATACTCATATTGAGCAGTTTTACGAAATCGAAGATGCATGAATCTTATTTCTGATACTTTAAAAGCTCCCATATGTACTATGTTCCTAACCTTATACCATGTAGGGAGAAACCTAATCTATTTCAGGCTAAAATTCAAACCTCAGCATAGTAATCCTACCAATTTAGTCAATCTGTAGGGGGCGCTAGGAATCACTCGGGCTAAATGACATTAGAAAATGAAGTTTCTAGGCACCAGGATCTCTTAAACATAAGGGGCTTGGGGTTTGTTTTTTTTCTTTTGTTATTTTTTGTATTAGAGTGGTAATTCAAATAGGATCTGACTTAATTGAATTCCTGATATATTTAGTGTTATCTCCACACGACTCTATCCTTGTGGACCTCTGTTCTGCGGCTTTGCTTTACAGTTTCTCAAATTTTGCATTCATTCACAAAAAGAGGTTCAAAACCTCTTTAAGCCATTCATAAATAAAGTCATTTTTAAAAGGATGAGATTATAGCATTACATAATATTGAAGGGTAGAGACAGCCCATTACACACACGTATATAAAAATGGAAATGGAAAGTGGTTCAGTGACTTGATCAATTTCAAGGAGCAAAACAGATGTAAGAGAAGAAGAAGGAATCTGGGTTTTTTACTATCACATCGTCAAGACTACAATAATGACAACTGTTGTTTTATGTACCTTGGAGTCACGACAGACTCATAACCAATCTTGCAGGAATTTTTCAGAGGAAAAACCTCTGAGGCAAATCACCAGGGGAGAGATTGTCCATCTTTCTCCTGGGGAGCAGCTGTGCATTTGACTCACCTCATTTTGGTTGATAACACAACTCCTTTCCACTAGAGCATCAGAGCTCCCTAATAATTACAATCAGATTGGGAAAACTTACTTTTTATAGAATTTAAGTACAGAGAGATCCATTCAAAATCATCTGCTCCAACCCCCCTGACTGACAAATAAGAAAACAGAAGTTCAGAAGTTAAGCCACTTAACTGAAGGTGAGGGCTAAAAGGATTCAGCCTCTCAGTATTCACACAGAACTTTATTGTGACAGAGAAATTACATTACTTGCAGACTTTATAACACAGAGATAAAGAAATAAAGCTCCTCACTTACTTTTAGTTGTGTGGAAGGAAAAAAATAAACAAATGAACAACAAATAATCCTACCCAAAAACTGTGTGAATGCAGAAATGCAGCTGTCAATGAGAAACAAGAAAGACAACGCTATCTCGAGTTTCTACTTTAATGTCAATGCCACATTTGATATTGTCAAACCAATACAATGACAAAAGACAAGTAGTTGAAGTTTATAGACTTAACAAGTACTTGTTTTGAATGTATCAACTGAGTACACAAATGGCACAGAACTAGTACGCTGCTTTCCCAGAGCGGCCACTAGGTGGTTGACTGGAGGTGAATGACTGAAGTGAGGGTTACTTAAGGCTATTTAGAAATCTGGCATGTTCTTCTCCTCTTGGTAAGAGGGTTTCTCCTCCAATCTTTGGACCTTTCTTTTCCTAAAAAAAAAAAATAGAAAAATTTTAATCAGAAACGAGTAAATGTTACTTGCATGGTTTTCTAAAATGAAGCTCCCTTGCACATGTTACATACCTTGAGCATTCCATCCCGTTCCCATTTGAAGAGTCCACAATTACTGAAACAGAAAAGAAAGATTTACTCAGAAGGTGAGACACAGGGCTTCATATACAGGAAACACTGATCAATTCAGGGGAAGAATATTCTCCATTCAAGAAGAACCTAATTAGGGATACTCACAACCTGAGGCTCTATGATAATACTACTAAAAAAAAGACTATTTCAATGATTTCAGAGATGGCTTTCATTGCCTTAACAAGCTACAGTCTTCCAAGATGTAATCTCACATACTATTTTAACAAGGTTATCCAAACTATTGGTGGGTGGTGCAGTTTATGCGTTCGGTTCCTAAGTGGAATCTGTCCACCTGGAAACCTCTCAGGAGAAAGGCCTAGAGTCCCACCTCTGAAGAGTGGTTCAGTCACTGGAAACTCTGTGAAGCAAAAGTCTATTCTGACACACATGGGATTGCCATGCCTCAGCTGCCTTCACGTGAACAGTGAATGTGAGGAGGGGAATTCTGGGGCTGTAGCCCACAGGGAGCTCACTGTTAACCCAAGAGCTGAGCCTCTCTAGCTGTGTTACTCCACAGACACGATTCAGGAGAACGAGGGACAATCTTCTCCCACCTGATTTACAAGCTTGTAAATGCAGTAATAGATCAACTATGAGTTGGTTCTAACTTAATGGCAATGAATGAGAGAGGAAACTGGCTCATTCTGTAGAGAAAAGGAAAAAATCGTAGATGAACTCAAATAATCTACAAAAAGCATAAAATTCAGCCCATCAACAAATGAATGGATAGGAATACTATGTTGCACTGAAAAACAAGGAACTCATGCAATATTATTCAAAATGGGTGAATCTGGAGGACATTATGCTGAGTGAAGTATCTCAGTCACAAAAGGACAAATACTACATGGTTTTACTGTTGTAAAACAGGACTGACCTTGGGGTTGGGGAGAGAATGAGAAAGATGGGTTCAATAATGTATACTGCATTGAAACTGATGAGGGAGAAAACTGTTTAAAAGGGATATGTGAGTACATATTTTTGTCATGACAGGAGTCTAGAGTGAAGGCTACATGGTGGAGTGGACCTGGGGGGAGGGATTATAAAACAATGAAAGAATTTGTCTTTTACTTTTCCAAGAGGGTAATGTACTAGGCGGGAGGGTTGGGAGGGGAGAACAGTGCAACAATGAATGAATGGAAATCCAAAGTCTCTGTAAATTTTTACTAAAATTAATAATAAATTTAAATAAAACAAACAAAAAACCCAAAAAGCATAAAATGAAAAAAAAATTTTTTAAAGCATAAGTAGCAGTAAAAGAAAATATTCTTTGAAAAAACTCCACATGGATTTAGAGAATAAGACACAATATGAAAGATAAATATGAAGTCAAGAGGAAAAAAATGGGAGGTGCCACTTGGGAGTAATCATCAGGTAGGGAAGAGGGTTCTTTTTTTTTAATTTTAAATTGATTTTAATTAAAGTTTATAGAGACTTTGGATTTCTATGCATTCATTGTTACACTTTTCCCCCTGCCCACTCCTCCCCTGCAACTGGCTTTTCTTTTTGAAAAGTAAAAGAATAAATTCTTTCACTGTTATTCAATCCCTCCCGCCAAGTCCACTCCACTAAGCTATCTTCTGGACTCCTTTCATAACAATATCTAATCATGTCAGGCCTCTTTTATAACAGTGGATTTATGCCATATTTGTCTTTTTGTGACAGATATTTCACTCAGCATAATATCCTCCAGGGTCACCCATTTTGTGTAATATTTCTTGAGTTCCTTGTTTTTCAATGCAGCATAGTACTACATTGTGTTAAAAAGCAGCAGTACAGTAAAACCAAAAGAACTAGGCAAGACAACAACAAAGAAAGCCCCTAATGATTGAAATGAAAATGGAGAGTTTGGGAAAGCATATTTGCAGTGATTAAATGTAAAGGAGACTCTCTCTCACCCTCTCATTGCTGATAAACTGGAACTGACTTGTAGCTGACCCTCCAGCGGGTTTTTGGAACTGCATGGGAGGGGACTGTCTATCTTCAGAGCTGCTGGTGGGCATAACATTGCTAGAGAGGGGTCGTCAATAGGTTAACAGTGCCACTCCCTATGAACTATGCCATCACTAAGATCTCAAATATACAAGAAACTCCTAAAAAGACATTTTAAAAGACTGGAAGTCCAGTTAGAGAACAACTAAGAGAAGCAAATAGTCAATCACAGCCAAGAAACATATAAGGCTAAAATGATATTAAAATATACTCAAAATATCAATAAGCAGATGTTTGAGATTTTTAATACAATAGGTTATTACTTTGGATGCAATCAACGACAACAACTAACCAAAGTGAGAAAGCTGGACAATCCACGAGTTGGGAGGACGTGAGGGGATAGAGGCTCCCATGCATGTTAGACGGAGGGTAGACTGGCTGGTTGGGGAATTCTGGAGGGCAGCCTTGTTATCACTTAGTGAATTCCACTTCTAGGTGTACCCCAAAGAAATTCTTACGCAAGACCATGCAAAGACAAGTACAGGGGTGATATAGGGACTGAGGAAGCAATCTGTGTGTCCCTCACAGGAGAACAGACAGATGAAATGTGAAGAACAGTCACCACTGACTTATTAACTGGAAACAACTAGAAACAACGAACTAGATGTGCACATGGAGAGCTGAGTGAATAAACAATCGAGACATGCAACACCAGACTATTGGTGTACACTTAAAAAAAATCCCCAACAATATCAACCAACCAAACATCCTCCTAAAACAACAAACTGAAGACTCTTTGGATCCAGTTTTTGGTCAGAGAAACTTCTAGACCCAGAGGAAGATTGACAGAGAGAGGAAGCCTTCTCCTGGAGCTGACTTTGAATTTTAGCTTTCTCAACTCTGGAAGGATGAATTTCTGTATATTATAGTCATCCACTTGGAGTTTGTTTGTTATGGCAGCCCTAAGTAACTAAGACAACACGTTTGCCATACTTCATTTAAGTCAACACTTTTTGAGGACCTGCTTACAACACACCAGGCAGAAGTACTGGAGCTATGACAGTGAAAAAGGCAGGTCTTTCCCTTCAAAGGGTTTTCATTTACCATTTCTAGTGTCAGGGATATCCAAAAGCAGTAAGGAGGCTCAGAAATAAGACTTGAGTCTCATAAAATCATGGTCCACATAGAAATTGAGAAGAACTGAAGGACTCTGGGCATCATCCTACCTGCAGTTCTTTTTAGGAAGCCTGTCAAGGGAGATACTTCTGTTTCCACAGGGACACTTGAAGAACCTCTTCACACCATCATGCCAGTGGTAGTCATGTTGCTCGCTGACGCAGGTCTCCAAGAGCTTGAAGTGGGTGTAGGTACACTGCATATAACCAGCAGAAGGACATACAGACAATGAAGACTTCAAAAGAGAAACTGACCAGAGGCCATCAGCTCAGGGATAACTTCTGTCACTTTGTTCCTCCCCAGGCAGTTCCTGGCAGCTTGCTAGCTTTTCTTCAAGCCACTGCGATTCATGTGATTTCCCAACTTTGCCTCATATTGACACTGTGGTTGTTGTTGCTAGGTACCATCAAGCATGACTCACAGACACCCTGTAACAACAGAGCAGAACCCTTTCCTATCCTGTGCCATCCTCACAATCTCTGACACACATCGCCGAACCAATGCTGCAGTCACAGGGTCGACCCATCCTGTTGGAGGTTTTCCTCTATTTCACTGACCTGCTACCATCCATAGAGTTTAGGTTACATTATCCTAATTCACTCTAGTCCCTTGACCATTATTATTTGTTGTCAAGTCAGAATGGACTCATAGCTGACCCTCCTGCTGTGGAGATTTTGAGAGGCAATAAATTCTACGGAAGGAGATTATCCATCTTTCTCCTGCAGAGTAGCTGGTGGATGAGAACCATGTACCTTTGGGTTAGTAGCACAGTTCTTTACCACTAGGCCATGAGAGCTCCTACTGAGTAAGGAGTTAAGTTGCCAATCCAAAGGCAAGCAGTTCAAATTCACCAGCTGCTCTGAGGGAGAAAGATGGGCAATCTCCTCCCATGTGATTTATAGCCTCACAAAACCTGCTGGAGGGTCAGCTGTGAGTTGATTCCAACTTAAAGGCAATGAGGTTTTTTGAGTATTATATATTCTTAATTGTAGGATTCTACAATCTTCTAACAGCTCTGTGGGAGAAAGATGGGCAGTCTCCTCCCATGCAATTTACTGCCTCTGAAAAGCTGCTGGCAGGTCAGCAGTGGGTCTGTTCCAATTCGATGATACGTAACAAGTTTAACAATATGTACACATGCATCGATGTATGTGTGTATGCCTACACACACGCACACCACACACACATTCCTTGTAGTATACTGGTTAAGAACTTAGTCAACTGCTAAACCAATGGCTGGAGGCTTAAATCAGTGGCCACTGTGGAGAAGTATGTACCTGGCTTCTCTCAAAGATTACAGCTTTAGAAACCTTACAAAGACATTCTGCTCAGTCAGAGAGGGCCATTATTGGTCAGAATCAACTCAATAGCACAAAACAACTATAAATATAAAAAAATGTACATATTTTCTATTTTATCCTACTATAATAATCCCTGCTTGAGACTGATTTAGAAAACCTCATCAGTAACTCTTCTATTTTCTCTTACAAATCTGTGAGGAGATAAGCTTATAATTCTAAATTTATAAGCAGTAAACTCATGATGGTGGACAGTGTTTGGTAGAGCTCCGTAATTAAAACAAGCTTGGAAGCAGGAGTGGCATCCACTTCCGAAACAGCTTGCCTCCAGAAACCCTATGAACCTGGAGAAAGATGAAAGTTATACAAGTGTTCAGGTCTTCCGTTCATAGGGTCGCTATTAGTCTTCTACGACTTGATGGCACTTAACAACAATAACAAACTCATGACATGTATATTAAAGAACAGATTTTAAAATTTTGATCCCCAGAAGGAGCAAAGAGAACAATGGTGGGTGAAGGCTGAAAGAGGTGCCAGAACATGTATTTTCTGGTAATTACACGGAGTCTGGAAAGATAATTGGACTTTGATAATCTCAGACAGTCCAAGCTGGAATGCCAGCTGCAGTAGGTTAAGAAATGCCTCAGCCTAACAGATGAGTATGTCCTAAAATTCCTAGAACCTATGCTTACATGACAAAGGAAAATTAAAGTGACAGATGAAATTAAGGTTGCTAATTATTGATTTTAGCAGCTCTGGTAGCCTAGTCTTAGGGAACTGTGCTGCTAATCTAAAGGCAAAATCCCTCAAATGTACAGGAGACTCTCAGGTATTAAAAACAGTAAACTTGAGAAAATTGTAATTGCTAAGCTGGGCTGCTTTCCTCCGCTCTTACATATGCTTCTAGGCAGTCCAGGTAAACTTGGAGTTAACTTCTAATGGAAAGACTGATGTAGTGTCTAGTTTAAAAAACAAAATCCTTTAATTTTCCACTTTTAAATAATGTTGGGTATAAAAGGCTTAGAATTTTCCAACAGGCATAGTGTGAAAATTCTGTAAACAGGGACAAAATGACAATCATACTTTGACTTGATATTTAATTTAGTAGGTTAGGACTAAAGTAGAAAAGATCAGCAGTAACTGATCATAAAGTGATGCAAAGTGAAATATTTCAATCAAGGTTCCAGGGACTCTGAATTACACATCAAAGATAAATTAGGAAAATAAGATAAATTGAGAAAGAGAGGTAAGAGTACCTTGGATCCAGTGGTCAAAGGGAAAGAGATGTCAGAGGCTTACTGGCAGCCCTGGGAGCTGTGGTCCGGTGAGAGAACCTCATTGACAGATGCTATGATTGTCAGAGCTCAGCAGCTGAGGCACGTGGGGGCCACATTCAGCCTCATTAATTACCGCACAAAAGACTCCAGTCAAAAGAAATGATCCCACATCTCACAGACTTTCAATACCAGCTGCATGAACAGGGCCACAGGTCCCAACCATCTCCTTCACTCACCGTCTTGCATGTCACCACTCGACATTTTACTTCTCTGATGTTTTTCATCTTTTCTTCCATTTGTTCTTTTTTCACTAGTGGCTCAAAATAGCGTTCCTGCAGTTCTGCCTCAGCCTGGAGTGAAAAGGCATATAGGAGACTTTATACCAAATCCAATATATACTTAAGGAGCAGGCCAAGAATTGAAGGAGATAATACTTGCTGTTGCAAAGAACTGCAAATAGGCATGGAGGCAGAGAGATATTTATAGCAGAATGTGATCAAATTCTGAAGTTACCACAGCCTCACAAAGCAAAAGTGTCCAAGATGAGGCAAATTCAGTTCTACAGTCCTTCAAAGGGGTTCTACCCTGTCTCCTGGTGAAATCCAGTAGAAAGACATGAGTTTGTCTTCTTGTTGTTGTGTACTATCGAATCAGAACTGACTCATAACTGACCCTCCAACAGGTTTTCAGGGGCAGTTTAATCACACAGGAAAAGATCGTCCATCTATCTCCCATGAATCAGCTGGTGGATTTGAACCAAGTACCTTTGGGATTGCAGCATGGATCCTTATCACTAGGCTACAAGAGTTGAAAAAGGAAATACTATCCAATGAATATGCTGTATGTATTTAAGTCACAAAGAAAATAAACCAGAAGTCTTCATTTCTTTCTTTTTTTTTTTAATTATTATTATTATGTTGTGTGTGTGTACTGTCAAATCGGATCTGACTGGTACAGGAGGAGATTTTTCCTCCTTTTCCAGCAGAGCATCTGGTGGATTCAAACCAAACACCTCTGGGATTGCAGTGCAGCTTCTTGCCACTAGGCCACCAGAGCTCGCCAGAAATCTTCATTTCTTATAAATCCAAGTTTCTATGTCATTTCTCCTAGTGTAGTTGTGCCCAAGCAACTAAAAAGGAAAATTCCATTTTTATATGTCCTATTTTTTTTAAAAAATAGTTTTGTTGTGAGAATCCACACAGCAAAAAAATATGCCAATTCAAATTTCTACATGTGACACTGATTACCTTTTTCTTTTTTTCCTTTATATTAGTTAAGATTTTTAAAAAATTGTTTTTATGTGCCATTGAGTCACATGTGACTCATAGTGACCCTGTGTTCAACAGCTCTGAGCCTTGCCATATACTGAGTCAACCTCATTGTCCCCCCATTACCCCAGTCAGAGTCAATCCACCTCATCAAAGGTCTTCCTCTCTTGTGCTGTCCCTCGGCCCTTCCAAGCATGATGGCCCTCTCCAAGGACTGGTCCCTTCTTGCAACATGTCCAAAGTATGTCAGATGAAGCTTCAGAATCCTTGACTCCAGGGAGCAGCCTGATTTCACCCTCTCTAGGATGAACCTGTTTGTTCTCCTAGCAGTCTATGGTATATTTTATACTTTTCTCCAGCACCATAAATTACTAGTATGTAATTTATATTATCCAAGAATTTTAGTTCAGGATGATACAGGAGTAATATAAAATATTTTATATTAAAAAGGGTAAAGGGTTGATGACTACAGATCTACATTATCTTTTGTTTTTTGGGCTCTTACCTCCTTGAGAATCCCAGTGTGCTTAGATTTTGCTTTTAGAATTTTCTGAAATTCCTCAGATTCCATGTAGGCAAGTTGCTTCCTCCATTTTTTCCTTGCAGGCTCTAATTCATCTTCATCTAGAGCAGCAAGGGAAATCATTAACTGTGAAGGAGAATTTCAGAAAGCAGTGTGTTCTGTTGACTCAGCGTCCCTCTCCTCCTCCTTCCTGTGCCACCATGACCTTCAGACTCCATTCACCTCTGCTGGTACCTCAAGAGGAAAGGTCTTAGGGAGAAATGAGCTGAGATGGAGAGCTCAGGTTATGGGTGCTGGTAGATGTGACCACTAGATCAGAATTTCTTTTTCACCTTAAATTAGGAAATTGATTTTAACAGACAACAATAAAAAGCCTACCTACAAGTTAATTATAAAACTGTAACATTTTTATAACATTTTAGAAAAACAGCACTGCCAACTTCAGAGTTTCAAAATAAAAATGAAGCAATCTAAAACAAAGGGACTCTTTTTCTTTTAAAGGTATGTTAATATATATATAAAGATCCAATGGGCAATCATTTCCCCAAGTGTTTAAATTAAGTACAATTTCAGGGTAAATGAATGTGATTATAAAAACCAATTAGTTCCAGATGGTAGGAATTCTATTTGGGTGTTCTAGGTGGGGGTGAAATAAAGTAAAAGAACAACTTTTCACAAAAGGGAGGGAGGGTGGTTACAGTTTAGAAGGTATGCTTTCTCTTTCCCATGCTAACTTCGAAATGTGTAGTACCTTCAGAGGGAAACGTGCTGTTTTTTTCCACACGTTCTTTCACTTCCAAAACATCCTCGGGGTCCATTTGCTTTCTTTTCATGCTGTTTGGATCAGTCTTTGTAAGAATCTGGCCCTTTGCCTTTAATTTGCTTATTGCAGCTAACTAGAAAAAAAAAAAAGAGATGAAAATCTAAAACACAAGATAGGAACCTATAACCCTGTACCTCCTCCAGTTATAAACTAGTGAACTCTGGCCAATCTCAAAAACAAACTGGCAAAATGTCTTTATTTTATTTAGTTTTAATACAATCATCAAAATTTAAAAAGCATGGGAGACAGGTCTGTAATACAAGCTAGTTCGTAGACCTTAGTGGAAGCACAGCCATTTCATTAAGCTCTTCCACAACCAGACACAGTCCAGGGAAGGACTTCCCTATTCTATCCTGTGAGAATAATAACTCTATGACTTCTAGCTATAGAGGAATCATATTACCATTTGGCAGTTTGCTCTGGAATCAGAATTAGGCTAGAGTTCCAGTGCTGCCACTATTAGTTTGTAATTTCAGGCAAATTACTTCAATTTTAAGTCTTAGTTTATATATAAATACTTTATATATAAATGGGGATGATGTATTATGTACCTTTTAAAGTTGTACAAATAATTTATATACTTATACATAGAAAATAGGTAGCTCTGGAAGCTTAGTGGTAAGGAATTATGCTGCCAAAACAAAGTAAAACAGTTCAAATCCACCTGCTGCTCCCTCACATGAAGATGGGCAATCTCCTCCCATGTGATTTACTGCCTCTGAAAGCCCACTGAAGGGCCAGCTCGATGGTACACAACAACACACATAGTAAATAGCATGTGTACATATATTACAAGCCCTTAGTAAATATCAGTAGGTGTCAGCAATTGTTATTAGTACTATTATAATTATCTCGTTTTGCCCTGAATTGGGTTATTTCTGTGAACTAGAAAATAAAGCAATAGTTCCAGTAAGGTGGCTCTAGGACACTCAGGAGAGACAGGTGGGGAGAAGGGAGGGCTGGGCAGTGGGGCTGTGAGTACCCCCAGATCTCACTTCAACCAGAGAGACTTAACCTTAATCAGTCCACAGACTGGGCTTCTGTATAATATTTCTTTTAAAGAAGGAGTCCAGTGTTAAACAAGCTTTTTATAATCTTGTCTCAACAATTCCAAGAATTTTTTCCCCATTACCAATGCTTCCAGCTGTAAACAGATTAGTCTCCTGAGCTATCTCTTTCAGTGCGACAAGAAATAGCGTTGATAATGGTTAACTTTCTTGGGTTAGGTGAATAGTATGATGATACTATTATCATTTAAAATTTCTTTGACTGCAATTGTCAGGATCAACAAATAGCTTTTAGGTATCTCTCTTTACCTGGTAATGATTAATAAAGCTTGAAAATCAAGCTATGTCTTTGGGAAAAGCAACTTAAAGTGTTCAAGAAGATAAGGCCAGTTACCTTTTTGGCTTCTGCTAAGGCATTCAATTTTGGTCTTGGTGGTGGTGACTCATCAAAGAAGAGAATATCATCTCCTTCAGAGACGCCTCGCCCAAGCTTGGGTGTCTGTGTGGCTGGAGCCCCCTCCAGCCTGGGAAATTCGGCGCCTGTCTGTGGAGACTGAGTAGTGGGCTGTCGAGAAGAGGATGGTAGAGCTGGACTCACGCTTTTACTTGAGCTCTGGAGAAATCTTTAAAGAAATATGTAGTAACAAAATATGCATTGAGGCCTGAGAAGATATCATATGGATGTCTAAGACATAAAGCAGACTGGAGACCATACACAGACCATCAGCTAACAAGCAGTTGTTATTAGTAAACTAATTTCTCCTTCTTAGTTTATAATTTAAATTAACAGGCAATAAGAGTAATGCCGGCTTTCCAAACTTTTTTGTTAATGCTGTTAATGTTTTCATTGAATAAATGATAATGAGTTTCTACTTTTGGGCTGATTTTTTAAAAAAAGATCATTATTTTATTTTCATCAGTATGTTTTTAGTAAATCTCTTCATAGACTACAGGCCTGAAGCTGAGATGCAGATTGTAAACTTAACCTCCTTGTTTTAGTTTTATTTACTCTGGGAGGTAGAGATGGGAAATCCATTATAAAGGCACTATCATTTACATGGTGAATATTTTATATCCAGCTGTAAGACCAAACAATAACAAGTCTCAGATACTATCTAAGTCAAACTTCTTCTTTTATAAACGAAGAACTGAGGCCCAATATCATTATTTCAATGACAAATACCGGCTAATCTGAGGCTAATTCTCTTTCACTTCCCCGGACTGCCTCTCAAGAGGTATGCTGAGCTTGCTAACAGGTGCTCGTCCTACAAACCCCACAACTCTGTGAGGAGTGGTATATATGACAGCTGTATAAATTCATGTCTCCTCCAGGCAGATGTACTGTTCCAGGGATCCCATCAGCACCTCGGTCTAACTTGCCTGAGTTAAACCCACTCCCAACTTTTCCTCACCATTTATGAGGAGAATTGGCTTCCCTGTTCATGGAACTACTCATGTTTTAGGAGTCCAGATTTGGGATAGCATAATTAAAAACTGGAGTAGTGAGTGTGTGTGTGCACAGCTTGCCTACTCTAATCTGAAGGTTCAGGAATACAGGTCTCAGAGCACTGCGAGACTAAATGCAAAACTGACTTATGCAGTGTGCAGCACAGCGTTTAGTCCAGGTTACACTACTGCTCAGACAGTGTGAGTGAAGTCTATGTCCTCCTTCCACATCCATTTCCACTTGTTTTACCTCTAAAATGATGCTATTTACAGTGCCTCATTTTACCATTTACCCTAATAACTGCAATCTCTATTTACTCACTCTGCTCTACAAGCTGATCAAGATGCTTTCCCCTTTCATAAAGCCTGTACTACTTTTCAATCTGTATCATTCGGTATCAAGATTCACTAGCATAAGAAACAGCGTAAAATGCTATTTAGGTTCTAAATGTTTAAAAATACTCAATGTTAAAAATGTAGCCAACAAAAGTCTGCTGCTGTAATTTTGAAATCTTAAGTTGTTTTGAAGATTCCAAAGATGTGTGATCTACACATGGACTATAAAGTCTGCCAATCTTACCGTTTTTGTATTTCTTCTGATTTCTTTTTCCTTAGCTCCAACATATGTTGCTTTTGTTGCTTCAAGAGGGCTGATGCTGATATTGACTGTATGGCAGGTTTAGGGCTCCCCATGATCCCTAAAACACAAACCCACAGACGGAGAGAGTTCACTGAGAGATTGAAGAAATCATGTGAACACAACAGACTAGGAATCCAAGGAGATCTGGTGCCATGCTCCTGGCACATACCAAAAAGGATGGCAGTTCAAACCCACCAGTGGCCTGGTGAGAAAAAAGGCCTGGCAAGCTCCTTCCATAAAGGTTATAGCTTTGGAAACTGCTGAGGCAGCTGTACTTTGTTATGTAAGGTCACTAGGAGTTGGAATTAATGAGATAGCATGCAACAACAGAGTCCCCGCTGGTGTAAACAGTTACCATGACTGGCTTGTAATGGAAAGAGAATAGGTTCGAGTCTAGACAAATGCACCTGATAAGAACATCCTGGCAATCTCCTTCTGAAAATCGGCCATGAAAACCTCTATGACACACATGGGCTTTTTATAACTTGGAGTTATCTCAACAGAAGCCTGTTTAGGGCAAGCTGACTATACCTGTTGTCCTGGCTTTAGCCAAATGTTGTTTTAAGTTTCTGGCTCCAGAGGTAGGCAAATCCATCAATTCTCTGAACTCCTCAGAACAAGACAAGCTCTTTTGTGGTATTCCTACAATATAAAAACATCATTATACAATTCAAAACCCAAACAGTCCAATGTCAAAAAGGAAGTAGACAAAACATTGAGAAAATAAAAAGAATCCTTCCCTCTAACATAAGGCACTCTCCTTCCTCCCTCACTGTCATTGAGTCAATTTTGACTGACTGTAACAAGTAACAACACTGCTGTTGTGAGCCATCAAATTTGAACCAATCCAGAGCTGACTCTCCAGCAAATTTTCAGAGGCAGTACATTGCACAGGAGACTAGCCATCGTGTCCCGTGGAGCATCTAGTGGATTCGAACGGCATACCTTTGAGTTGACAGTGCTGTTCCTTACCACTGAGCTACCAGAGCTACCTCACATCAGATTAGTTGCTGTTGTTAGGTGTTGCTGAGTCAAGCACGACTCATAGCGACCCTATGAACAACAGATCTGAACCCTGTTCTAGCCTGCTCTATCCTCACACTTCCTGACACACAAGAGTCCATTGCAGCAGTCTCTGTATCAATCCACCTGGCTACAGGTCTTCCTCTCCTTTGCTGACTTTCCACCATTCCCAGCATCATGTCCTTCTC